GGAAGGGACCTCACAAGATTATCGGGTCCAGCCCCCCCACTCTAGGCAGGAAAGACAACTGAGGTCAGGTGACCCCAGCAAGGTGACTGTCCTGTCTCGGATTGAAGATTTCCAGGGTAGGTGATTGCACCACCTCTGGAGGGAGCTTATTCCACAGACTGGACACCCTGACGGTGAAGAATTTTTTCCTAGTGTTAAACCTGAAACAGTCTTCCAGGAGTTTGTGGCCATAACTCCTGTTTTTTCCCAAGGGTGCCCTGGTGAACAGTTGTTCGCTGAGCCCTTGATGTATTCCCCTGATGTAGCAGTAAGCTGCTACCAAGTCCCCTCTCAGCCTTCTCTTTTTTAGGCTGAAGAGCCCCACGTCCCTCAGCCTTTCCTCGTATGGCTTGCCTTACAAGTCTCTGATCATACGGTAGCTCTTCTCTGGACTCTCTCAAGCTTTTCCACGGCCTTATTCAAGTGTGGCACCCAGAACTGGATGCAGTACTCCAACTGTGGTCTTACCAATTCTGAGTAAAGCAGAAGAATCACTTTCTTGGTTTTGCTTTAGATATATCAGTTGATGCATGCCACAGTATTGTTTGCCCTGCTGGCTACAGCATTGCACTGACAGCTTATGTTCAAAAGATGGTCTATTATTCCCCCTAGGTCCCTTTCATTCGTGGTGCTAGTCAGTTTGACACCACCGAGCCTGTAACTGTGTTAGGGGTTGTTCGTCCCCAGCTGGATCACTTTACACTTCTCAATGTTGAACTTCATCTGGTTCTGATCCACCCAACTTGCCAGCCTGTCCAGGTCCCCCTGTATCTGCAGCCTATCTTCAAGCATGACCATGCTCCCCCTTAACTTGGTGTCGTCCGTGAACTTGGTCAGTGAGCTTTTCACCCCCACATCCAAATCATTGATAAAGATATTGAAAAGCACTGGACCAAGCACAGACCCCTGAGGGACACCACTGGCAACTTCTCTCCAGGAGAACACGGATCTGTTCGTTAGAACTCTCTGGGTCCTACCCCGCAGCCAGCTTCCTACCCACCTACCTGTTGAGCAGTTAAGCCCACAATCCTCCAATTTCCCTGTGAGGACATCATGGGATACCAGATCAAAGGCCTTAGTATAGGCCTGTGAAGCACATGTCAAGGGAATCAGCTCTAGGACAGGACTCTGGGAGTCCTGCGATTGCTAAAGTTGAGTTGTATCACATCACCTGATTCTTCTTGTCGCAAAGCCCATTCCCTTGTCAGAGAAGGAAATCAGGTTGGTTTCCTTTTGTGACAGGGTGATGAGCTTTGTGGATGTGGGGAGTAGTAGATGTGATCTATCTTTATTTTAGTAAGGTTTTTGATACTGCTTTCCCAACATCTGCATAAGTAAGTTACGGACACGCAGTCTAAATGCACTACTATAAAGTAAATGAATAACTGGTTGGATAATTGTGCTCAAAGAGTAGTCATCAGTGGCTCCATGTCAAACTGGGAGGAGGTATTAAATGGGATTCCCCAGACATCTGTCCTGGGGTCAGCACTGTTAAATATTTTCATTAATGACTTGAAGGATGGAATTGAGTGTACACTTAGTAAAGTTGTGGAAGACACTGAGCTGGGTGGGGTAGTAGACACTTTATAGGGCAGGATTAGCATCCAAAATGACCTTGATACATTGGGAAAATGGTCCAAAATAAATAGGATGAAATTCAATAAGAACAAGGGCCAGAACTACACTTAAGAAGAAACAATCAAATGCATAAATACAAAATGGAGAATGGCTGGCTAGGCTGCAGCACTGCAGAAAAGGACCTGGGGGTTATAGTGGATTACAAGCTACAGAAACAGTTTAACACCATTGCAAAGTGACCTAACAGCATACTGGAGTTTATTAGTAGACATGTCATACGCAAAGTATAGGAAAAGATCCTTCCACTCTATTTAGGAGTGGTGAGGCCTCATCTAGAGTACTGTGTCCAGTTTTGGACACCATACTTCCAGAAAAACATGGTAAAAATAGAAAAAGTCTGGGGGAGAGCAACAAAAGTTATTAGAGGTTCAGAAAACATGACAGATGAAGAAAGGTTGGGAGAACTGGGGTTGTTTAGTCTAGAGAAGAGAAGACTGAGGGGAGCTTGATAACAGTCTTCAGATACAAAAAGAGGATGGGGATCAATTGTCCTCTGTGTCCACAGGGAACAGGACAAGAAGTAATGAACTTAAATTGCCACAAGGATGTTAGGAAGCAATTTCTAGCTAGTAGGGTGGTGAAGCTAGGAGGATGGTGAAGGGGTGGTGGAATATTTAGGTCACTGGAAGTTTTTTAATGATCCTGCTAGGGGGCTATACTAGGTGACCCACAGAGATCCCCACCAGTCTTGTTTTTACTATGAGAATCTTAGCTTTCAAAAAATTAAAAAAAAAAAATTAAAAAGAGCTGGAGGCCAGTCTGGGGCAGAGATGCTGCTGTCAAAGGGTTCATATACTGCTCCTTCTGCCTCCTGGAGCAAGGGTGGTTATAGTTAGTTAAGAATAGAGAACTATTTTATAGTGAATACAGAGTCCCAGAGAGGCCTGGGTTTTGGTGCGTGTAGGACCTCTAACTTCTTTAATGTGGCTCTGAATCCACATAAAACAGCTGCCTCAGGCCATTTTTAAGTATTGAATGTAGTAGATAGAACACCAGTAAGCAAGTGGTTAGCACAGATCTAGGTAAATCAATGCAGAATACAGCAGTTTCCTTCAACATTGACAGGAAGCCAGAAACAACGCAGCTTTATCATTCCCGCAGAACTTTGTAGGCCCATCCCACCATGCAATGACTGATACCTGACTGATATCTGGAAATTACACCAAGATGGCCACGTGCCTGAAAAGCCCCAACTGTGCTGGGGATGCACTGTGGATGATTGCAAGACTGCTCATTCACTGATGTTTGTGGAAGATAATATATATGCAATAAATGTATTTCTTTATACCAATTAACACACAAGTTCAAAGAATTAATTCAGAGAAGAGCTATGGCCAGTATTGTGCAGAGGGCAGCTTAAGTGGTCACAGTAGTCCTCTCTGGCTTTATAGTCTTTCCACCTTAATATCCTGCTTAGGAAATTGATCATTTACTCTTTCACAGCTTAATGGTTTATGTGTCTTTCTGCCATTCACTTATGGCTCTGACCACACTGCTCCATCATGGACTGACTTCCTTCTCCTGCTCTCATCATCATCTTCACTGACTTGCTTACTCTACTCATTTCCTATTATCACCCCCTTCTGAAGTTCCTACCCATTTTGCATACTTTTCTTCTTGGATCCTTATCCCCCCCTCAAATCCCAGTACACCTTTTCTGCATTTTCTTTTTATTCTGTTACTGCTCTTAACTGCCCCAGCCTGTAATCTGGGCCACCTCCTTGTGACTCTGTCCTCTCTTTAGACTGCCCCCTCTCGGCCACATGCAAATCCCGCTGCTTCTTTTTACATAACATAGGCAAGATCTGATCTCTCCTTTCTCCACACAAACACAATGCTTTTTCCAGCCTTCCTCAGTTCATCTCGAGTATAGCAATCTGTTTGTCTCTGGCCTGGGTTCTTGCGGCCTCACCCTTCCAATATCCATACAAAATCTGTGGCTTAGATCATCATCCTGGCCTATCAACTTGACTATGTCACACATGCCTCTGGAGCCTTTCTACTGACTTGTTCTTATCTTTTCCAATTTAGCCCTGCCCTACTAATTGGGTATTATTTCTCCATCAATGGAGAAAACCTTTTAACCTCAAACCTAGCTTTGCTACCTGTTAGTTTACTCTCATAAGCACCTTCGTGTTTTTTTCTCATGCCTCTCTCTCATATGTGGTACAATCCATCCCCAAGCCTATAAAGGTATTACTTGATACTTTTTTCAAATCTTCCCTAAAACAAACTTGTTTTTTGATGCCTACAGAATAATACTCATTGATAACAGGTAGACAGGTTGCACATTAAAGCATATGAACAACTGTGCTCATATTACTGTTCCTTTATCAAACATTCTCCTTTCACACCATCCATAATCTCATTTGTTTTCTTGAACCAGCAGTTTCTTATCACTAAGATTATAAACACTTTGGAGCACAGCCTGCCTTTTAACAACATTTGTGCAGCACCTTATACAGTGGAGTTCTCTTTGATCCCCGATGTGGGACTCACAACACACTGTAATACCAACAGTAATAAAAGCAGTGTTCCATTAACAAATGGGCATAGATATGTGAGAACATGGTCTCAGAGGAGTATTGATTTAGAAATTTGCATTCTCAATTAAGCTTTTACATTCTCTACGTGTTCCTAAGTGTCTAGGCTGTGTCATCACAGTCACTCTGCTAAAGCAGCAACAAACTCACCATTATGTAATAGAAGAAAAATCCTACACTATAGCAGGGCTTCTGAAATATTTTGGGGAACTTTTATGTTTTTTTCTTTAACCTTGCATTGTTTATGTTGTCCTTGCAACAAGACTCTTTGCCATGGTAACATTTTTTTTATTTGAATCTGGAGCCTAAACGTGTAATGCTGCATCAGCCATATTACTCCTAAGAGAGCTCAATATTAAAGAAGATTTTTGCCAATCTTTCTAGGAAGAATAAGGTTTAAAAATCTGCAATAACTGAGGAAAAGAAGATTTATTTTAAGGGGCTATTTTGCAACAGGATATACCATTATTTTTTTAGTTACGTTTTTGGATTCATGGAGAGTGACCACTTTTAAATGAAAGGGTGGAGGACATTATTTAACATACTCTATTTTATTCAGGTTATTTTTCAGATCAGAAAGTCAGTGGTTTCTCTGAGTCAAACGAGCAACAGATGGATCTTCCTTCCTCCTCCCATTCTTCTACTTGAGGATCAACATCAGCTGTGTCTGTGGAGAGGCTCAGTGTGGGAATGAGATTGCAATTTAGCATCTCATTCAGCTGATTCCAGTATGTAATAATCATTAGGAACTCCAGGGTCCATCAGTACAGGCATAGGCCTGGAACTCAGTGGTATCTGGACGTGTTCTAACTTAGTTCTCCCTGGAGGGTAATAAGCCTGCATGCAAGCTAAGGAAATACAGAGGAGAGAACTTGGTCTGGAGGTACTGTAGAACCTCCCTGGATGTCCTTTAAATGGTGAATCATCAATGTTGAAATATTTGCAGCTGAATTCCAAGTTCAGTCCCAACTGGGAAGAGGCAAAGAGGGAAGCTGTATGTATGAATTAGATATTGGGAGCATCTAGTTGGGATGTCTGGTAATGAATAGATATTTTATAATATCATATGCTAATCATCTTGACTATACCTATGTCTGTTTGGGCATAAGGCTGCTAGCTGATGAGGAATTTCTAAGAGGATCTGAGCACTCCCCTCTTTCTGGGTGGTGCTTGGCAATAGAAACGGTATAGCACATGTTGTTATGGTGAGTGTTTCTTTTGCTCCTGGAGGCATTGTAAATACCACTACCTAGCGCACAGTTCCATCTTGTATCCCAGTATAGCTTAGTAATGTGGGGGATGGAGGCCTTCAGAATCAAATGCAGTATGATCTTTATTCCCTGCAATAAACTAGCTCTTTGCCAACTTTTATTTGCTGGTTTTCCCTATACAGTTTCAGATGTACATGCCCTTGCTCCTTGTTACTATATCTCTTCATAGGAAAAAAGGAAACTAAGAAACAGACTAATCCTGCAGTTTTTAACTCAAGCAAAACTCCATGTTGAGTTTGGTGTTCATTTCCAAAGTGCATCTATGGTGAAAAAAAGGGGAAGAGGGGATTTGTACTTGATTGATGGGTTTTCTTGTGTGCCTTTGTATCTTGTCTGACATCCAGAAGCATTTCCTGTCCTTAGTATGGTGTAGCAATAAAGAGCCAGATTGTATTTTTGCCCACTGTGCCTTTGGTGAAAGTACTTGCAGGCCTCTGATTCTAGAAGCTTTGTGTTTCAGGATGCAATAGTCAGAAAAATTGTAAAGAGCTTAATCATTTTTTTTTTATTTATTTATTTATTTATTTATTTATTTTACAGGACAAAAAAGTGCCATATAATTGTAATATATAGTTTTAATATAAAGAGCGAGGAAAAAGTAATTTCATTATGATTAAAAATTCCTCAGTAATGTTTCTCTTAAACGTGGAACATTTTCCAGACTGACAAACTGAAAGAGTAGCTGCACAAGATCATCTGAGTCAAAGAATATTATCCTGGGCTAGTCCTCAGCATGCTTCTCAATGGTTCCTCCCTGTGTCTTTAAATTAGTGGTCAAACATGTGTTTGCCATGTTATTCCCAGAAATATGGAATAAGATATAGCTGGAAGTATGTCCTGTCCATTCTTCCAGTCTCTGAAGAAGAATTGATGACTCAGTTATGCCTAAATGGAAGAGAGATTAAGGAATATAATCTGGAATTTGGTTTTACTTCAGTCTATATTTGGGCAGGGGGATTGTTTTACTTTCATTCTATTGATATTGATTTTTTTGGAGGGGGGTGAGGTTTGTGTAGCCAAAAGAGGAAAACACCCAAGAATTCATTGTTTCATGGTAGTTAGGGGTCAGAAACGACCTAAATAGATCATCTAGTCTGACCCCCCACCACTGGCAGGAGCATACGCTGGGCTCACACGACCCCAAGTAATCAAGTAAAAGTTTCCAAATGGGACATTATAGCTCTCCCAGCTCCAACTGGTTTAATTTGGGATCTGCTAATCTCTCTCATTTCCCAGCGGGCCAAATCCTGAGGTGGTTCTTCTTGGTGCTGGAGTCTGCTTTCAGTTTGAGGAAAGAGTTAGACCTCTCATTCCCTGGGGAACTCCGCTCCCACTGAAGTTTCCTGTTTTATTTTTATTTTTGGTTCCTACAGTGGCTGGCGGGCTGAACTGGATCTTCCTCCTGCAGACGTTTTCTGAGGAGAATCCCAAACTTTATTTCAAACACTATTCTTTTCAGTACGTTTTCAGTCTGGTGTCCAGCCATAACCTATGGTGGCATTTGGGTTTTCAGGCTCAGTTTCCAGATACCATAGAAAATGTTATGGAAAGCTGAGGTTATCTGGAACTGTCATGAAATTTGACTCATAATTCCAACTCTTGCCATACAATAGAGAGGAATATGATACCAGAGAAAATCTGGTAGATGCCTTCTGTTGCTCTGAGTTATCTACACATTTTTCAACCCTATCTGGAGTTGCACTCTGGTGCCAGGTGATCAATAGCTTTGATTAAATGAGGCCAATGGATATTTTACTAAAATTTTGGGAACAGTTTTGTACCATTTCCATGTTCAGCAACACTGGCTTCCATCCACAGCCAGACAGGCTTAAAATTAGTACTTGTGTAGCCTGGGTAGACCCAGGGGTGTGCCCTGTCCACAAGTGGAAGGGATGGGGTGGTCAGGCAGGAGTGCTGTGAGAGGGGCCTGCCACTGGGGAGCAGTTCCCTCTTTTCTCTATAGAGTCAGGCTAGGACAAAGCACTTACCTATATACAAATTTATTGCTATACAAAATAAATATAAAAAATAGACACAAAATATTTACAGTAGAACTAGTACGTGACACCTTACACAATAACCTACAACCAACACATTGCACCACTTTGAGGGACTGCAAAACACAGAACAGGTGAATCCCAGCATAGGCAATAATTAACCCCCTGCACAGATGAACATTAATACCCTGGAACAGGTAAGTCAAGGCATCAACACAATAAACACGTACAAGCATCAACTTAGAAAAACCCAGGTAAGTTGAGGTAACAATGCAATAGACCTACGCAGGCATCAATACAGGTAAGTTCCAATAATAGGCAGTAAACACATATAGGTAATGAAGTCGGATAAACCCATATAAACTCCCTTAAGGGGTACCCATAACTATATAAACTTCTACAGTACAAAGCAACATCAATCACAAAATATGGGGTGTTCCCCGGAGCCCCTCCCCTTTAGGGTCCCAGGATGTGGACATGTTCCCTCCCACAATGGAGGAGGGTGGAGGCTTTAGACCCTCCTGTCCCATGCCCGCCTACCCTGTGGGACCCACTTCCCCAGCAACTCCCGCTCCTGCTCTGAAGCAGACAGGACTCATCCTCTGGTGACCAGTCCCACAAGGGCCTCTCTCCAGCAGCACCTCCGGCTCCTCTCAATGGCCCGGTGCCCCACACTGGGCACCAGGCACTCCTACGAGAGCTGAGCCCTTGCGGACTCTGTTTCCCTGGCCTCACGCCAGGGGTTTTTCCCCTTCCTGGGCCCTGGGGCTCTTTTAGTTTAATGCAGAGACACGCTGCAAGGCTCTGGTTACTCGGCCTAGAGCTGGAGCTATCTTGAACAGCCTCAACCTGCTCTCGAGGTCAGCTCTCCATGTGCCGACCTGTGTACCATGTGGGGCCCAAGCAGCCTCGAGCTGCTCCCAGGGCCGGCTCTCTGTGAGCTGATCCATGCACTGCCCACCCAGCTGCTTGCTCGGTTTACAGGCTCAAGCCGTCTCCACCAGTCGGAACTGAGGATTCTCAAACCCCTGGACACGTTGGAGCTCGATTGGGTAAGTCTGTCAGACTTGTATGAAGAGATAATTAATGGCATGAATGTCAAAAGGAGTCAAAAGTAGAAATAAGTCAGTAAGTAGAAATTGCTCTACTGGCTGATGCAAAGCCCATAGTTTTAACTACCATGTTAAATCAGTGAAACATAGCCTTGATGGTTTTATGGAGAGTGAAAAAGCAAAAAGGTTAAGTTTCTGTAATATAGTGTTCTTTAGTATGTCCAAGAAAAGGAAGCTTTAATGAATTCCCAACATTAAACGTTTCCTTCGGATCTTGACATAATTTCAAACCGACAAGGTCAAAGACCACAACCTTGAAATGTCATCCTGTTCCTTATAGAGCTATCTAGACAGAGCCCTTGCAGGAGGTGTCATTATATTCCTGTATATTGAAATAGACCTCCCAGAGGTTACTATCTTCAGCTGGATGAGCTTTTCTCTTTATATAGAAAATATGTTGTAGAGCTATGGCCCTGTGGTAATATTACATGAGTTTCATATTATTTCATGAAGTAATTTATGAACCTTCACATCTGAGCTAACTGCAAGATAATTGCAGGATGCTCTTCTCATCCATCATGGCATGCATCATATGGGATGAATACTAACCAGAGGATGGAAGATCAATGACTCCTCCTAGTTTCCAAAAAAGTCTTTGTTTTGGAAACTCTTTGATCTAATGGGTGTGATGAGGGATATCTTACCTGAATGCGACTTAGCTCCTTATGATGTAAAGGGTTATGACAGGAGTAACCTTACCTGTTCACTAGAAGGAAAGAATTTCAGAAATGCAAGAAAAATCATTAAATGAGCATGTGCTAATGGCAACTGTCATCAGGGGAAACCTGTACAGTCTATCCTCAAACAGAGGCAAGATATCCCGAATAGGTGAAACTGCTCAATCCTCAGGGAAGCATACAGCACCTGTAAGAATAGAGATGAAAATGCCTATGCATCCCCTCTGGAGAATGTATATCCTCTTGCTGATTTTAGTGCTTAAGATTTATTGGTAATTTGGGGGACAGTGCACTTTGTATATGGTTTTTAATGGTCTCGTAGTGTACTTATTAAATTAACTCCATGGGAATAGCCACAATTTTAAATTTAGGCCAAATTATATAAATGCCAGTTTTACTATAAAAAACAAAATGCAGCAAAAGTTGGGGCTGGGAGGGCGGGAGGTCCAGTGAGATTTACACTAGAATTTAACCTCTGAGATCTTGCTTGTTAACCATTTATTTATTTATCTATTTAATCAGTGCCTGGCTACTTGTTTTTGTTTGAATGCTTTAGATAGAGGCTGACAGTTTAAGCCAGTTCAAAAGGAAATTGGACAAATTCATGGAGGCAAGATCCATCTATAAGTTAAAACTGTAATGTGTTGGCAGAACTGAACAGGGGTCCAGGATTTGAACAGAAGGAGGGTTTTAAAGGCCAGGACTGAAAAACCTCTATAGATGGTTCTGAGGGCTCAGGAGTATACAATATTACTTGCTACCTACCTTACCAAGGGAGGATCTGAGATAAACATTGGTACAGATCTTTGTGCTGCAACTTAGATTGAGGTTCGCAGACGGAGCTATATCCAGGAGGAATG